GCTGGTACAAAACAGTTCTTCTTTTGAATAACTTAATGAAGTTTACAAAATTACCCAGAAATCAAACAAATGCCTTAACGGTCGCACGATTTTTTAAAATACTCTCGAAATGTCGAGACGGAATTATCGCTTCTACTTCAATACCACAGTACCGGAAAAAAATGGCGTATGAAATGCAAAACGTGTTGGTCATAAGCAAAAGTTGAAGAACGGGAGCTAACTATGGCAGGGAATAGAGAAGCGGAGCGAAGAATATATAACATGCTTTTTTATGACCATATATGGGCAGCTAGATTCTTCCTCACAAATGAGAGACATACAGGGAACCACTGCCAGCATGCAGAAAAGTAAAATTGGGTGGGGCAAGTCTCTGGTGAAAAGCGCAGGACACTGTAGTGAATGATACATGCAAAAAAACAACCATTTGGATAAAATTCGAAGAGATAACGCAAGTACGTTTGGATACTTCATGGAAATATTTAGCTTAGGATCAAAAAGTTTGGCATAGTTGCGCAACATATGAAAGCATCCCAATTACACCACTAACGTGGGATCTGCTCACGATCCTTTGGTACTGCTTTGTTTCCAAAAGATCAAATTTACCATGCTTTTCCATGCTTTCTTATTTTTCCTGCTACTTGCCGAAAGTTTAAGAATTAAACGTTTAAAAAACTTCAAAGATTTCCTCACTCTTTTCACTAGACACGACATCGTTTCGTTAAATTCACTAGTTTAAAAATTTCGAAAGAAATTTTTCGGAGTAGTAGCCAGTCACCATTCAAAAAACTAAAAATTCATCTCGGCCGTCAGCCTGCTTCTACATAACCCTATGTTCAACAATCTTGACAGCAGGAAGCTACCTTTGGCACTTGCTTCTCTCGGAGAGTACTTCCGACTGCCTCCACCTCTCACAAAAATGAATGAAACGGGATTTTGATTTTTTGATATTGGAAGCACACTAATAAAAGGTTCCATCGATTTTTTACTTTGTAGTTTTTTATGAGTTTCGTCCTTCAATAGTTTTATATAAAGCGTATTGTTGAAGCCGTGACTGTCTGTGTGTATGTGTGTGTGTTTGTGTGTATTCGAGGTGCGTTTTATCCAGGCTTGTTGACTCCAGGACCAGAAAAGCTAGGACGCTGAAATTCTAGGATGATGTTTCCGCCTCTGTAGTACTTCGGAAACTCAAATTTAGCTTTCAAAGCATAGAATTACTGCGCACGGGCGTGTAAAAGTTTTGGCGGGAAAATCGCTGATTCAAGGGCCGGAAACTTGGGAATCTAAAGTGGTGGGAGGATACTTCTTGCCTCTCTACGACTATATAAATTAAAACTCAACTTCCTAGTTCCTCTAGGTCTCTTGTACGAATATGCAAAAGTTTTGGCGGGAAAATTCCTTGCCTTGAAGATGGGACAGGATGGAAAATTGGGAAATTGAGGTTGATGCTTGCTGTTAATGTGCAACATTGGAATTTTGAATTTAGCTTTCATGTTCGCTTAAATCTTACATGGGCATTCGAAACGTCTCGTAGGAGTCTTTAATTCGGAGGCCAGATTTTGTAGGAGTTTTCGGAGGGACCGGACTTTATCGGAGTCGGAGCTAAAACTGTCGGAGAATGTTTCCCTTTATGTGAGATTTCACAAACTCAAATTCATTTCTCATGAATGCCTCCGTTTTACGTACGGACAGGTGAAACCCCGTAGTTCATGAAACAAACAATGTTTCAACTATTTTTGCATAAGCAAAGCTGGAAGACAGTAAAAATTCTTAATAGCAAACGTCCGCTGAGAGGACTGCGTAAAACGCATGATCGCATCGATTACTCAGGTGCGCAGCACCATTACTGTCATTTATTTAGATTTTGTAAAAGTGGCTACTGAGAAGCACTAGCAGCTTCCCACACATTGTTGCTCATTTCTTTCCAAATTACAACATATTTGCATAAATGGAAAATTTTTGCCTTTGATTTATCAACTCACAGCATCCTGT